GTTAAATGATACCTTCATAGAATTTCATTCCAACACATGTGTCTGTGGCCCCTAAAAATTAAGGCTCTATTCATTCCAGCTGGGATTCACAGTCTCCATGGAAACCTGAGATTTGTCATCTCTGTCATCAAGTTTTCATTATAGTTCCCAAACAAAATGATCGTGGAAACGTTTTAACTTTATCTTCTTTGTTGTTTCCAGAAGGTCAAAATAATATTTCTGCTTTTGTACATTAGCATGGTCGCTATCCTCTGTCTTTATTTTCTTTTTTTTTTCCTTTCCTTTTTTCGCAAGTGACCAGGATGTCCACTAGGGGAAAGATGTTTTTCTCTTCTAACCTTAATTCTAATCCTTTGTACTAATCTGAAGTTTTACACCTGCTGGTACCCTACATGCAGTACTCAGTACTCTGTTTTATATTGGTAGAATATTTTAAATTTTTGTAAGAGTTCTAACATGAATTTGAACAGAAATAGAACCAAAGAAATACAGAACATACCGTAGAACCATTCTTTCACATCTTCTCCAACAAGAACCTCAGAAATGTCTGAATAAACTGAACCATTTTTTTACCCTCTCACACACGCACAGACAAAAACATGTATCTATTAAAGAGAAACACTGCCCCCTAGTGGAAAACACTTGTCAAGAACGTGTGAGAAAGTGATGAGAAAGTCCTCACCTTTTAAACCTTTTTTATATTATTTTAATGAACAAATATATCAGAACCGTAGATGTTCTCCTTGGTTTGAGTTCTAAAAATAATTAAAACTAATTTTAATTCTAATTCTTCTCCTCCTGTGTCTCAGGTGTTTACTCGCTATGGGAAGTGTTATACCTTTAATGCAGGAAGCGATGGACGTCCTCCTCTGATCACCACCAAAGGAGGTATGGGAAACGGCCTGGAGATCATGCTGGACATTCCGCAGGACGAGTACCTGCCAGTCTGGGGAGAGACAGGTGAGGGAATTAAACCAACAACCTCCAGCGTAGGGGAAAAACATACAAGTTTCACTGCACTCACTTTCTTCATTGTCCTGCAGATGAGACGTCCTTTGAAGCTGGGGTCAAAGTTCAGATCCACAGTCAGGACGAGCCTTCGTTCATAGACCAGCTGGGGTTCGGCGTGGCCCCTGGGTTCCAGACGTTTGTTTCCTGTCAAGAACAAAGGGTAGAAAAAAAAATCTTCTTATTCAAACTCATTTTAATTAGGTTTTTTTTTTTATTTCAAACCTACGTCGGCAGTAGCGTATCCCAGCATGCCGAGCGCCTCAGAGCTGAGTTTGAATTAACAATCACACCAATGTTCCATTGTTTAATGTCTGTATGTTTTTGGACCGGGGATTGAACCAGCGACCATGTGATATTCACACTGAAGAACCAAAACAGGAGGACCATGAAGATTCATTAGCATCAACACATGGTTTGTTTTTTTCCCGACACCGAGGGGAAACCAGTCGATGGTGTTTTATTTCACGGCAGCCATTTTCCCTGCGTTACAGCTCATATACCTCCCCCCACCGTGGGGGGACTGCAAAGTGACGCCCATGGACTCCGACTTCTTTGACAGCTACAGCATCACAGCCTGCCGCATCGACTGCGAAACGCGCTACCTGGTGGACAACTGCAACTGCCGCATGGTGCACATGCCCGGTAGGAAACCACACCAGAGTTATACCAGGTGAACTGTACCAGGTGCAGACTAACGTTGGCTGGTTTTGTTCCTGCAGGCGACGCTCCGTACTGCACCCCTGAACTGTACAAGGAGTGTGCTGACCCAGCTCTGGGTGAGACATGTCTTTCACAATGTCTGCCTTGAATCTTTGAGGAACTGATTCAGACCAGTCACGCAGACACGTGCTCTCACGTGCACACACACACACACACGTGCACGTCATTCCCTTCACGTCATCACACCACTGGCCTCTGCTCGTCTTCTCTCCAGATTTCCTGGTGGAACGAGACAACGACTTCTGCGTGTGTGAGACGCCCTGCAACACCACCAGGTACAGCAAAGAGCTGTCCTTCGTCAAGATCCCCAGCAAGGTCTCTGCAAAGTACCTCGCAAAGAAATACAACAAGTCTGAGCAGTACATCAAGTAAGGAGTACACTGTACTTCACTTTGTGAAAAAGACAAAATCCATTATCCGTAGGCTAGCTGCCTGAACCCTGAAACCTTTTTGGGTTGTTACGGTGTAAAATTACAGACACTTCTTATTTGCTACAGATTATAAATGTATCCAGTAAAATATAGAAATAGATCAAATAGATTTGTTGACCAATTTTACAGCAGAATAATGTACAAATAAACTACAGCAAAGTAAATGAAGAACGTTGACACACTATATTCAAATGTACAAAGCAAGGCCACACAGTAAGTTTCTATACATGTTATACAGATTCCCGGGCGCTCTTCATCAACCAGGCAAAAAATAAATAAAAAATACAGCCCTGTTCTACAGCCATTCACACCAACTGTACCTGAGTTCTCACTGATAATAACGTCCACTGACTGACTTTTACTTTCCTCTCTGCAGAGAGAACATCCTGGTTTTGGACGTTCTTTTTTGAGGCGCTAAACTATGAAACTATAGAACAGAAGAAGGCCTACGAGGTGGCAGGACTTTTAGGTACAAAGTTTCCGACTTCTGTCTTATACAACAGACAAGTTATCAACTGGTATAAAATCCTGTTTTCTGTTTTTTTTTTTTTTTTTTGAGATTTTTTTTTTGGGGTTTTTATCGGAGCGAGCATCCTCACGCTTCTAGAACTGGTTGACTATTTGTACGAGGTGAGAGAACATAACCAACATTTATGAATGTTAATTTGTTTCACGTGGTTGGGGATTTTTTTTTTATTGTCTTATATTCACACTGCAGCCGTTACACTTGGTGTGAACTCTCTGTGCCGTCGTTACGGACTCTCTCTAAGTGTCGTCCTGCTGTGTGTTCTCGTCAGGTGATCAAGTTCAAACTGTGTCGCTGCTCTGCTAAGAAGCACAGCGCCGCTGACCAGGGAACAGTGCTGAGTTTGGACGATGTGAAGTGTCACGTCAGCAACTTCCACTAGGGGCTCCGCAGCTGACAGAAGGCTGAACTTCCTTCGTTCAGAATTGTTTAGTCAGACTGCGATCGTGGCCGTTTGCCAGAAGAGGCGCTGCTGACGTTATCTGAGCGGGTAGGTAGGAAGGGTCAGGGCGCTAACCTGAGGAGGAGGACGCACACGGCCGGAGAGCAAACTGTAAATGTGGTGAATTCATTGTGCATGGTCAAAACAGAGGACAGCCTTTAACAACACGTTGACTGAGTCGGTGGAGGACTGACGTAAGGAGAGTTTGACTCCTCTCAGTGAAGTGACGATGTTTATCTGTTTTTGGAATTTATTTACAACATGTTTTTTATTTAACCTATGAATGTCACCTTTGTTATTTACAACATGTTTTTTTATTATTTAACCTATGAATGTCACCTTTGTCTGTATTTATTTAGTTTGATTTAGAACTTCAAAGTACAGATCTGGGAGACAGAGTCCACTGAAACTGATACTACCAATCCATTCTGTTGTCAACGGGAGGCCAGATCTGATTGGTTAAAGGTGTAAAATAGTTATTGAACTACAAACTTAGTAACATTCCAATTGACTAAATTTTAGCAATTTAATTTAACGTCAATGAAAATAACACTAAACCCTTACCTTGCTAACAAACGTTTGTTCAACAGCAGAAAAAAAAAAACATTTAACAGGAAGTTCACCAAAACTTTCAAACTAAAAGTTGTATATTTTACATACAGAAGCGTCCACATCTTATTAAGGTGTGTGAAGAATAAAGAAGGGGTTTTGGCAGAAATATCTGCAGGTACTACACATGTAAACAGCTATTTGTATAATAATTTATTATTTTAAAAAACTGTTCACGTGGCTTTAACAAATATTGATGTTTATGTCCAGAACTGTCAGAATAAAAGAAGAATATTTGGTCCAATAGACTGTCTCGTCTCACACGCCTTCATCTAATCATTAATTTAATTTTAAATAACGTTGTATACTGTTCTACCTCATCTGACAAGGTGACAACAAAGATTTCTAAGTGGATTATTTGAAATTGTTTAAATGAAATTGTTCCTGAATCGAGTCAATCAGACAACAAACAACACCGACATGACAGTGAAGTACACAATACTACAGTTATTCCTACTGACCCACTAGTACAGTGTTGACCTGACTGTGTGTTAGAAGCACAATCGTACCATCAGCTTTGAGTTCTTGTACATACTGCAATGATAACCAACAATTCTACTTGTGTATTTGCTTAGTAGTATCTGTGAAACATAGTACTCATCATATTTATTTGTTATATTTGATATAGATGTACATCCTGTAGATGGTTTACTTCTTTTTTTATTATTATTCGAGGTGTGTTTTGTTCAACACGATATCGAGTACGCAGCTCCCTGAACTACTGTACAAACAAGTAACTGATTCAAATGAACAGAATGGAAGTGAACATTGAGATTATTTGGCTGCATCTTCAGCATGACGTCATACTGTACCATTAAAAGTTGTCATATAGCTACAATGTTTCCCCTGATTATTCATAACAATCCTCTTAACGGCTTCAGAAAACCACCGGACCTAGTACGTTATTCAATCTGTCTGTCTGTGGGTTGGGCTAATTGTGAAACCTCCCCTAATAGTACTTGGTACTTTCCTCCAGATGAAATTAACAGAAACAAAATATAAGTATATATATACAAAAAAAACTAGAATTTTGACCAGTTTCTGAAGATTAAAAAAACTCATGTGCTCAGATAACTTCATGACAATTATTCAGTTTCAGGAGGAAACAACTCGTCTACAAAGAGGAACCGTTTGTGGGACGTCGTGGCTGCAGTGGTCGATTCATTTTGGCCAAATCAGACGTTTTCTTCTCAGTTTGTGTCGACTCACAGAGATCAGAGTGCTGATTCTTAACTTCACTTCCTTCCTTCATCCCATCTACTGTTTGCACACACACACTTGTGTAACGGAGACCCTTTTTATCCCAGTCTCTAAGACTGAACGACTTTCCCACAGATCAGTCTGTGTGGCTTCTGTTGTGACTGACAATGAGAGGTCTTTATTCCCCAATGACTGATCCTACCCACAACACACAGCAACACACACACACACACACACACCAACAACCTAACTAACCTCCCCTTCATTCAAGAGACTCTGAAAATATATTCATATTTTAAAGTTGAACTAAATTAACAGCCATTCTGTAAATATAACCTAACCAGATCAGACCACTGCTTATTTAGTTTAAGTTTTGGTTTGAGTTTATTGACGTTACTTATCACATGAGCTGGTCACATGATAAGCCACTGTGACACTGTAAACAGAATTAGCGTTGGTCATTGGCTTTTTGTGTGATGATGTTTCCACACAGAAACTAAAAAAATCTAAAACAGACAAACGCAGCGGGAAACAGTTCCAGTCACTGTAAACGGTTTTACTGTGTCTCATCAACTGTCTGCCCGTCTTTACCTCGTGAACCTTGTTACAGTGACCTTCCCAGTGCGTTACATCATCAGCTCAAAGACAACGCAGATAAAGTTCAAGGAACAGCAACAACCGACTGTCTGTGGTAGAAGAGTTCCAGTTTTATTTCAGGCACCATTTGTGCATTAACTGTGTATTATCAGTCTATAGACTGTTCACAACGCTGCTTCACATTATGTATCGTAGGTCTATGTTAAATATTTAACATTTAAATTGTTATAATTATTACAAAAACATTAATGTGACAGAGCTTTACTGGACTTTCTTTCTTTCTTTTTTTATTTTTTTAATGGGACAACATTATTGGGAGCTGTTGTTTTTTATGGCAGTGTCAGGGTTACTGATAACAGTGGGTGGAGCTGACTTTAGTCCCAGTCACTTAGATTAATGTTCCTTAACAGGGTACACACACCAGGTTTCAAATGCTGTTTAATGTTTAAAGGAGAGTTATTCAAATAATTGGCAGAAGGGCTGTTTTTTACTATCTTTTTTAACTTAACTGCTAACTTAATGGCAGGAGGACTGTTTTTTACTATCTCTTTTAACTTAACTGCTAACTTAACATTTATTATGTTGCATCCAGTAGGGGGCAATCTCGCTGATCTGTTGTCAAACATCATCTTAAATAATAATAATAATAATAATCTTAAGAAAAAAAGAGGTTGTTCTTAACTTATTTCCCTGTGAAAATACATATCAAACAAAACTTTAAAAAAATATAAAAATAAATGTAGAAATGGAATGAATATTAAGAAAAAGAGAGTTTGTACAAGACAAAAACGTACTGTACTTTTCTATGGATTTCCAAGCTTTTCTGGTTTGTTTAAAACAGAAACAGTGCCACCTACTGGACACTATTCACATTGTAAATAATACATTTTGCAGTTTTCCCATTTACATTTTGCCAAATTCAGGGTTTAAAATAGTCGAGATGACTGTTGTGTTGCCCGGACCCGCAGCACAGTGAGCTGTGGTCAGCGGTCAGCACGGTGGGACGGTCCAGTCTCTCCTCAGAGCAGCCAATCAAACGGCTGCTCGCCGTGTCTCTGTTTACCGCTTGTGCAACAACAACACACACACACACACAGCAGTGAACAGACCAGCCGTAGCCCCCGTTCATCTCTGGACTTTTCTCTCCACAATGGCAGCTCCGAGCAGAGTCTGCATCATCGGCTCTGGAAACTGGTGAGTTTCCGGTACTTTAACGTGACCGTAGGGGGAAAAAACCCGTCTGGGATTTAAACCTGTCAACAACAGTGCAGTATGTGCGTGCACGCGATACGATCCCCGATCAACCCGGTGGTTTTTTGCTAGCTCTGGTACCCAGGGATCAATGGGACACAGTCAGCTAACGTTGACTAGCAACGGGCTTCGCACTAAAGACAACTTCATTTACATTATTGTCACATATTAAACCTCGTTTTATGTTAATTCCTGTTCTTAGGTCTAGTCCCAGTTAAACTGACCGCAAGTCAATCACGACTTATGTCCGTTTTTACGTGTAATATGTTCAAATGAAAATAAACTATGTTCGGTAGTTATTCACATTCACAACAAACTGTTTAGTTTAAACCTCCATTAACCCAACGTCGAATTATTACAGCGCTGTTACCATGGACATGGACATGCAGTCGTCCATGGTAACAGCAGGGTTGGACCGGAACCAAAGTCCTAACTCTTTGTCCGGTTGTGTTTTTTATTAACAACTTTCACGTACAGTGTCCGCAGCAGTGACGTGTTATTAGCTTAGTGGAGCCAGAAGTCAGAGAACCAGATGTAGCTTATTTTACTCTACAGTTTGCTTTCTTTCACAACACGCACACACGGGCAACTACAATGTACTAAGTTACTACGTAAGAGTAGATAGATAGATATATATCTTTATTAATCTATAATTATTAATAATATTAATATAAAGTGACCTACGAAAGGGGGGGTTACAACGTCAACCTCAAATGGTGAATTTACCTCAAACGGTTTATAAGAGTGAAAAAGTCGTTTGGTCTTACCTTTGTTTGTCCCGAGTCTTTTCGCGAAACTCCCTCCTACTTCCCCGTAAAAGTTCTTCTCGCTCTTCTTTAGGTTTCGAACGTCTCCCGTTCTCAGAGGACATTAATACAAATCAGTTTTATTGTTTTTTTTCGGTGTAAAAGTGTTTGAAAAGAGTCGCTGTGCACTTGACTTCCTGGTTTCGCGATTACGTTGTCGCTTTTGAGTAGAACAAGACGAGCGCCGACACTAGGCCTGTTCAGCTCACGTCCGCCCTCTTCTGGTGTTACGTGATACTGTTTGCCGCTTCACTAGGATTTAAGTCTGGTGGGCGTGGTCAGCGTGTGCCTCCTACTTCCCGTGTGCACGGCCTCATGATTGGCTCTCGGAAATGACGTATTAAAAGATGGCGTTTCTGATACAGCGGGACACAGGCGACCACAGTGCTGGGCTGCCGGCTAAACGCGGTTGCCATGTCTGCTAATTGTACGCGAACTTGTTTTATCTAAATTAGCGTCAAATGCTTCAAACGACTAATTCACTGCTGCTTAATGTTTACCTTATTAATTTAACATTAAATTCTAAAGAAATGTAATGATATAAATCGATAAAGTGGCTTTTCTGTCCACGGGTGACGGGTATGTGTTCACCTGGTTTTCACCACCTGTTGCTGCCTAAGATGGCGTTTCTCCTCAGTATTTTTTTTTAAAGAGCTGCCCATTTCACCCAAGAGCACAGAATGTTATTTTTCTCTCTGTGGACTTTGATTTGTTTGCCAAACTCGGTTACATAAACACAGGTGTCCAGTCCACTTCTGCTTCTTTGTAGAAGTAAGAAAAAAGTTCAAAAGTCACAGGAAAATTATACAAATTGAATGCACACAACAGAAAATCTTATATACATATATAATATCTTTAACATTTAATGTATGATTTGTCTAAATGTAAAGTATTCCACCTGAGTGTAATTTGTTGATTAAAGTCCCTCTTCGTGACGTGTATGAACACAGGGGTTCAGCTATCGCTAAGATAGTGGGAGCCAACGCAGCCCACAACTCCAAATTCGACAGCACTGTGAAAATGTGGGTGTTTGAGGAGATGGTGGACGGACGCAAGCTGACGGAAATAATCAACACTGAGCACGAAAATGTCAAGTATCTCCCTGGACACAAGATCCCTGCAAATGTGGTGAGATGCTGCGTCTCCCTCAGTTCGTCTCATCAAGGTTTTTTTTATTATAATAATTAACCTTTAATTACTCCCCCCCACCCTCACGCTCCTCTCTCTTCATCTACCTCCACCTCCAGTTGGCTGTTCCCGACCTGGTGGAGGCGTCCAGGGATGCAGACATCTTGGTGTTTGTGATTCCACACCAGTTTGTTGGCAGAGTGTGTGACACCATGAAGGGGAAGATCAAAAGTGATGCTCTGGGGATTTCCCTCATAAAGGTTTGATCTTTTTTGTCAATTTGTTGACAAAAATGAAAAAAAAAATGTAATTCCTCTTACCTGCATTTACGTCTTTGTTCCACCAGGGGGTGGATGAAGAAAAAATTTAATTCCTCTTACCTGCGTTTACATCTTTGTTCCACCAGGGGGTGGATGAAGGACCTGACGGACTCAAACTCATCTCAGACGTGATCCAGGAGAAGCTCGGTATCACCATGAGTGTACTGATGGGGGCCAACATTGCCAACGAGGTTGCGGATGAGAAGTTTTGTGAGACCACCATTGGTGAGACCTGGTTCTTTTTCCCCAAAATTTTGAAACACAGTCTTGGAGTTCTTCATCCTTTAAGATTTTTAAACCCGTACTCAGGAAGTTTCAGCCCCGATTCGGCAGAACAATGCAATGCTGTTCCACTAGGTGGCAGTATTAACAAATCATTGATAGTTTTAATTGAATGAAAGTTGGTGATTGACCTAGCCGTGCTGTCATAACAGGCTGTGAGATGAGCTGCGTCTCTGTTTTTGTGTCCAGGATGTAAAAATAAAAGTCACGGCGCTCTCCTGAAGGAACTGATGCAAACCGACAACTTCAGAGTGACTGTAGTGCAGGAGTCTGACGTGGTGGAAATATGTGGAGCCCTGAAGGTGAGAGGTCAAGACCC